CACAGTCACGTGCTTTGATTGTGGAGTTTTCGTTCACTTCTCCGACTGGCTTCAAGACATGGGAGGGTATCTGGATAAGTTTACATGGGGTGCACGTTTCGCCTTTTGCCTTAGGCTCCCATACGGCTTTGTAAGGCACTGCAGAAGAGCAAACGTTTCAAACTGAACCATCCTCTGGGGCCCCAAAGCAGAATTCCTGTTTCTGCCAGGTTGGTGACACAGGACACACCTCCAGGGATGCTAAGTCTGCCCTGCACTTGGGCCGTCTCTCGGGGTATGCTTACTGGGAAAGGGCAGATGCAGAGGGCAGGCCTGGGAACCCAGGGAACCTCTGGCCTGCAACAGCCCCTCCCAGCAAGGGTTGGTGCGGACGGGGTTTGGCGACAGAATTGCCTTGTTTCAAAGAGTGTCACTTTAGGACACTATTTACACAAAGAGCTTCTCTTGTCCTTGGTGGGGGTCTGTTTCAGCAGATCTAGGAGTTGTTTGACTACACACATCCTGCTCCTTCCTGAAAGACTTTGAGGAGGGGCAGAACTGAGTGCATGGAGCCGTTCGCTGCAAGCTCTGGGAACAAACTCCTCCCGGCCCAGCCTGAGTGCCTGCATGGTGGGGCAGCTCACCACCACCGTCAGTGTCTCCTGAAACGCTGGTGCTTTCACCGTTTTCAGCTCTGTTCACCAATACTGAGCACCTGCTATGCAACCAGGCTTGGTGCTAACCACTGGGCCCACGGGGAGGCACTTTCACTCATGGTCGCTTACACCACTGCCTCTCTGCCTGAGGCTTAAGAGGGCCACTGCAGCCTGCTGGGAACAAAAGGACTCAGAAGGGATGAAATGTACCTGTTCTTCCAGCAAAATTAGCAGGCGAGGTGAGGCGCGTGAAAGCAAAAATATGTACCTGACTGATGGATTTCATGTTGGCAGATGTGCTGGCAAGGACAGGAGTGACCAGCCGTCCCGAGCCGCACTGGTGCCTCCTGCTAAGCAGGCACTCGGTAAGTAAATGATTGCTGAATGGAGTGCACCAGGCATTTCAGCAGACAGTGGGCAAGAGCCTGCCCTTCTGAAGGCATTTCCTGCAATTAGCAGCATGGGATCTTCAGGTTCCCAGGCTGCCTCCTCGCCCTTCATAAATATCCCCCTGCCCAAGGACACAGCTGGCACTGGCAGTGTTGTTTCATAGCAGGAGGGAGCAGTGGTGACAAGTAAAATAAAATACAGCCATGGCATGGATCTCGGAGGCATAAACCAGCCAAGTGCAACATCAGGGAAATAAGTCTTGTCTGTGGCGGCCTCGTTGGGAACAGATCTTACTGTCTTGAGCTGAATACGCACCACCTCAGCCCCACGCCACTATCTGCCTGGGCAGGACATACCCTCCTTCAGGCGGTGGTGTTTCTCGTACCAGGGCCGCCAGCCCCGGATGGAGGAAGGATCCCGTGAGAGAGAGTTTTCCAGGCTGTGCCCCCGCCAAGCACACTCCTACACAGGTGTTTCCGAGGCTTTGCCTGTCAATCTGCAGCTGTCTGTCCCCCACATTTAGGTTGTGATGGGTGGCTCAGAGGTGACTAAACTTCCAAATCCTGTCTGCCTTCCCCTTTATAAATGTGACATTTAAAGCCCCTTTGGCACAGGTAAATCACAATTACATTTCCAAGTGCCTCTGGTACCACTCCGAATCCTTGAACAAGCTGAGTTGGCAGCAGAAGGGCTCTCTCTTCTCTCTTCTCCCTCTCCCTCTCCCTCCCTCTCTCTCTCTCTCTCTCTCTCTCTCTCTCTCTCTCTCACACACACACACACACACACACACACACACACTTGGTTCAAGCCTTTCCCACTTTTTTTCTTTGTTCTGTGTGGCTCCTTCTCATTGCATCACTCGCTTTACCTTTCTTTTCTGCAATATTGAATTCATTCCCACTTTCTCTAAAACCAAGGAGAGCCTGGGAAGCTGGGGTGGGGGTGTAGAATTCTCCAGCAGCCACAGCTGCTTGAGGGAAGTGGCAGGGGGTCTGAAAGGCAGCGAGTCTGGACAAAAGACCAGTTTCCCACCCCTCTCGGTGAGATCTTCAGGAATCAGGACACAAAGGGCAAACTTCTTTTCACTGTTGTCACTGTCACCACCGAGGGGTCTACAAAGCTCCCTCTTACCATTATTTTCAAGTGCCTCAGGTTCTGGCTGACGGGTCATTTTTCTTGTATATTTTTTCTTGATTCCCCTCCTTCATGGCCGCATATCTGGCTAATGTAAAGAGATAGTCGCTGAGTCTGGAGGGGCAGAGAGAAACAGACGGGATAATCGGAGATGAGCAATCAATGCTAACCGGGTCCTTCCCATATTAGCCTTCAAGGAGGAAATATAAATCACGCGCCCCCAGGAGCATGAGGCAGGACAGCGGGTGCTCGGTCAACTTGGGCTTGATGGATGGCACTCGGAGCCAGCTTCTGTGAGAGCCAAGTGCCCAACGGTGGCGCCAGAGCTGGGGCAGTTCCTCAAGGATAAGGCTGCTACCCCCACGTCACCTCACAGGGCTGGCGACTTTGGGCCGCACCCTGGGCTAGTTTCTGTACCTTCCAGTGACCAGGACTGGTGACTCCCAAATTGGAGCAAGCAAATGAGTCACCTGGGGAGCCCAGTGATGTGCAGATTCTGACTTGGGGCGGGGGAGTGGAGGGTGGGGGTGGGGGCGCCAGGCCTGGGATTCTGCAGGTCTAACCTGTGCCCAGGCCTAGAGTGGGGTTCTCAGCCTCGGCACTACTGACAGCCGGGCTCATTCTTCGTGGTGGGGGACAGGGACTGTCCTGTGGACTGTGGGACGTTGGGCGGCATCCCTGATCTCTACCCACTCGATGCCAGTAACACCCCCACCCAGCTGTGCCAACCAAACACGTCTCCAGACATTGCCAGGTGTCCCGGCTGAGAAGCACTGGCCTGCTAGACCTTCATCCCTCTCTCCCTTCTTTCTTTGAACCCCCAGGGACGGGGCCTCTGGGCAGGAGTTGGGGCAGAAGAAATACAAGAGGAGACGCCAAGCCGGCCCTTAAGGTGCTTGCAGGGAGTTCACGAAGCTCTCCACCGCTGCTTCCTGCACGTCTTGTTTCCGTGCTGAGCACTGACCACCACGTCCTCCATCTCTCCCTGCCCCACCCCCCGAGGCCAGCTCCATGCCGGGTCCTGCCAGAACCTTCCCCACCCCTGCTGCCCCTGGGATCAGGTCCCCCTCCTCCTAATGCCATGCGGCCCGTGTTTGTCTCTTATCCACTCAGTGACACCTTCCTTGCTGAGGGAATGAACTGACTGGGCCCTCACAACACTTACAGGACAGTCAGGGCTCGCCCCAGGGGCTGGTGCTGTGATGATGGAACGTGCCTCACGCCCCGTCAGGCCCACTCGCCTCCCAGGAGGAAAGGGGCTGCTCAGGACCCCTCAAAGCCCAGCCCATGTCCCTGTGGGAGGAGTGACCACAGTAAGGGGCCAGATCCTGGATGTGAGGTCACTTTCTGGACACCCAGGACAGCTTGCAGGGATCCCCCAGCTCTTGGCCTGCCCCTGCCCATACTGGAACTGCAGAAGCCAAGGCTGGAGCAGAACCGGTGGAGCAGGCCTTGGGCCAGCTGTGGCCTTGGAGGCTGAGTGATGGGGCTGCAGGGGCCCGCCCTGGGCCATCAGCTCACCAGGTCCTGTGCCAGCGGCCTGGGCCCAGATGGACCTGAGCTTGCTTTGCCTGGCTGTCTCCTCTCAGCTCACACTGCCCAGGGGCCTCTCAGGGAGGGGGATTGGCTGGGAGAGGGTCTGACTCCTGCCTGGGCTCCCTGGTCAGTCACCACCATGATACTTCCCATGGCCTCCCTGGTTACCCAGCCTCAAAGTGGGCCCCTTGCTGCTGCACTATCCCTTTGTTTCTCTTGGCTGGTTTTTATAGAGGCCTCTCCCAGCAAGATCTTCACCTCCCATGGGACAGGGACGATCCCTGCCTTGTTCTCAGCTGCACCCCCGTGCCCAGCACAGTGCCTGGCACACCGCAGGCCCTCTGCGAAGAGATGAGTGAAGCCCATTTCATTGTTGTCGCTTTCCACAATGCGTCTCGCTTTTCAGAGGAGACACTCCAAATCCCATCTAAGTACCTGTTTAAGAACTTGGCCACGTTGGCATCCGTCTCACCCATTTGGACAAGAGGTACCACACTGGAAAGACAGGACACACAGCATCACTAAATTACAGGGTCAACACACTGCAGGACCCAGGGCGCTGTCCCAAGCCAGCATGTCTGGCCGCTACAGCCTGACCTGCTGTTCGTGCCAGTCTATGGGGACATTCTAGACTGTGGCCTGCGGTCTGCTGGACACCGACGGTGGGGCAGGCCCTTGCTAAGCCCTTTGCGCACATCATCTCTGCTGCAAAACCCTTGCCAGGAGACACTCGCCCCAAAACTGAGGCTCTGGAGGTGTATCCCCTGCCCAACGGGCTTTTTTACCTGGTGGTGTCCCACATGTACACCTCCACCTCCCTGTCTGGTAGACTGAGGACCCACCCTCTGCTCAGCCTTTGGGTTATCTCCGATTTTTTTTTTTTTTTAGCTGAGCCATCCTGCCACCTGTTGGCAGCTCAGCGGCAGCTCAGCTCGGGCCGTGAATTGAACTGGCAACCCTGTTGCTCAGAGCTTGCACTCTTGAGCGAGCTCTTAACCAACTGAGCCACTTGGCCGGCCCCCTTGTCTCCGATTTTTTGTTGTTATGAGCATGGCTGAAGTGGACGGCTTTGTACAAATGACTTTTTTTTTTCTTTTGAAGCCAAAGCTCTTTCTGTTACCCAGGATCCCTTTAGGAACCACTTGGGTCCAAGAGCCTTTCATGAAGGATGAAGCCTTTAGGATGTGGGGTCATGGACAGAACTTGGGTTTGAACTGGACAGACCCGGGCTCCAAACCATGAACCACTCGGGTGATCCTGGCCACAATGTCACCTCTCTGAGCCCCGATTTCCTGAGTCCTGTAAAGTGGGGGCTGCCACCTCCCTCTCAGAGTCATTATGAGGAATCAATGAAATAATGACTATAAAGTGCCCAGCACAGCCCTTCCTGTTACATCAAAGTAGGGCTTTATTTCCATTTCTCTGTAAAGTTGGGTGGCAGCCTGGTTTATGGGAGGTGTAAATGGAGATTTTGCAATTATTCTTTCAAAGTTTCCTTGAAAAGGCTGTCAGTAGCTTTTGGGGTCCCTTCTCTTCCAGATTCTGAGTCGGGAGGTGAGGGGGGAACAACAAGTGGCTGATCTACTGACCACTTCCACTTGGGCCCCACACTCATGTGGGTCCCTCTGGGTCCTTCTCTACCCAACAGCCAGCAGGATCCTTTCATGTCACCCCATGACCTAAAACACATCATGGCTTCCAGCTGCTCTGAGGATAAAGGCAGAGCCCTCTGGGCTCATGAGAGGCCCTGCCCAGTCTGCCCTCGGCTCGGCCGCTGGCCTCTTCGCGCCCTCTGCCTCTTGCCCTGGATCCTGACACTTGGCCTTTCAGTGCAGACTGCTGCCTCTGCCCTTGCTGTCCCCTCACCCTGGACACTCTGTTCCATCCCCTTTCCCCCAATCCTTCAACTCTTGGCTCCCAAGGGATGTCGGGAGACCCTCCCTGCGCCCAGGCTGGGTCACCCTGGCGCCCCACACCCTCCCTCACAGCCCCTATCAGGGTGTGGGCTCTTTGGTCATTTCTGCTCAGCTCAGACCGCCTCGTTTAAATTAAACCCCAGAAATGGGGGAGCTGGGGCACAATTCTCACTGAATACCCTTTGGAATTTCATACCATGTGACTGTTATAATCATAAATAACCAACTAAACCCACTAGGACTTCCTCCCCTCTCATCCATAACTGCTTATTTCTCTACAAGCTCCGATCTTGATGTGCAGTTACAGCATCTGTCATTGGTCTGGTCACAGGTTGCTGTCTCCCCTCCACAATGCAGTGCTCTGAGGACAGGGACTTGGTCTGGCCTGGTGGCCACCTGGCACGGTGAAGGTGCTGGGAGGAGGTCTGTCACCAGGTGGCTGGACGGCATGCAGCTGACCCCACCGGTCTGCCTCCCGCTCTGACCAGGCTCCCACTCCATCTCCCCTGGGCTCCTTACCGTCTCTCAGCTCGGCGACACACAGCCCGACAGAAATGCAGTGCAGAGCTGCTCTTGCCTCCCGACTGAAAGGAGAACGCGGGCGTTGGCTGGAGCAAAGGGGTGGGCGGGCGTGCCCACTGCAGAAGGGGAGCTCCTCAAAGGGACAGATGGATACAGAGGAGCTGCCCCTCAGTGGGCGGTGTTCTGCCTCCACGGGGGGCCCTGCTGGGGGGCACCCACTGGGCACCCCCACCCAGAATGAGCAGAGCTGGGGAAGGACCGCTAAGGGTCTAGAGGGGAGCTTCTGTTCGCTATTAAAAATTAAAGAGGGGGGAATGATTCAATACCCGTGTGTTTTTGTTAAGACCCGTGGCCTGCAGCCGCCCCCCAGGTGGAGGCCGCCTGGTACCTACAGGCAGAATGAAAGCCGTGAGAGGGGGGAGCTGGCTGGAGTACTTGTCGATCCACTGCTCCAGCTGCAGGATGGGCCCCACCTCGAATGTGGTGTGTCCTGAGGAGTCAAGGACACACCATGAGGCCCGTCACCGTCCAGAGCACCAGAAACCGCCCCCATGTCCCTCCTGCCTGGTCCCCTCCAAATCACTTCCACTGTCTCAAAAGGTTCCTTTCCTCTCAGGGTCTACAGCCCGGCTGACAGGGGTTGTGGGTGACACTCAGGAGAGTCCCCCTACCCCCCAACCCCGCCTTGGGCCCAGCCCCCACAGGGCCCTCAACACACACAGCCGGTTCAGAGTTACTTAAATGAGCCTCCCTGGCGGAGGAGCGTGGTGTTGCCAGGGCAGAGCCGACGTCCTGCAGCGAGCACTGGATCTGGGGAAGTAACAGAGGCAGGAATGAAGGTCTATTCACGTCAGGTCACGCAGGGATAACGCGGGCCCACGTGCACAGGCGCCACCTGACACGCAGGATGTGCGGAGCTGGCCTGTTGGGGACTGTCAGAACCTTTAATTAGCTGGCATTTAAAGGCTAATTAGCAAACTGTCTGAACCTTCAGCACGTTGGACACCAGCCCTGTTGAGAGGGGACCTGGTCCCCTTGGGGACAGCTGGGTTACACAGAAAATGAGTGTCAAGAGCCCAGGGATGGCCAAGAAGAATCTTCTATCCCGACTCTGGTCTCCCAGGTGCCTGGGCCCGGAGAGGTTTTTGTTTTTTTTCTTTTCTCTAAACGGAGAGCTTTGGTTTCTAACCTGTAACCTTGGGGCCAAGAGACCACATGTGACCATGCTTTCTCAGTTATAAAGGCCAGGGTCTGTGAGAACATGGTCGACTGGGCTGTGTGGAGTGTGCCGGGGCGGGAAGCACGGCGAGGTGAGGACTCTGCTCTGAGGGGCAGGAGCAAAGGGGTTTGCTTAGAACAGGGGTGGCCGGCTGAGCTCTGCTGAATGACAAATGACCGATGGGCTCCTGTGCTGATGAGACCCACAAACACCACCTCTGACTTTGTGCCTGGCCGAGGCCACTGGAGCTGGATGGTGAGTTGTGGAGAAAGGGGAGGTCTCTGACTTGTGATGAGATGACCACTGTGACATGTGCCAGGAGGAAGACACAGCAGAGGAGAGAGAGGCTCCCCACCCAGCAGGGGACTAGACCCTCCCTGGGCCACCGACCAGCAGACCCTGGGTGACTCAATGGCTGCCTGGTGCCTGTGGCTTCTGGTGGAAGGGGGGTAACGATACTGCCCACTGGTTGGCCACTGTGGCGATCAGCCCAGGTAATGCTGCAGAGAGTTGGCCCTGGTTTGGGAATCAGGTCCCAGGTTCGCTAATCCCTGACTGTGGGGCCTCGGGCAAGTCGCCCTTGCTGGGCTCCTGCGGGGATCAAATGGGGAGATGTGAGGAGAGCGGCAAATAGGCTGCCTGGCATTCTCCCACAGACCCAATGAGCAGACCCTGGGGACCAGACTGGACCCCTCATATGAACAAATCACAGTCTGCAACCTCAGGGTGCCCCGGGCAGGTGGGGAGAAAGGCAGGGGACTGGGCGGTTTGACACTCCGGGGGATGCCTGATATTTGAGGGGCGAGCACAGGAGCTGTGGAAACCTGGGAGAGGCACCCAGCCCAGCTGGAGGTGGGCGTGGCCAGGGAAGGCCCCTGGCAGTGGTGATGTTAAAGCTGTGACCCAAAGGACGGGGGCCTAAAGCACAGGGGGTGCTCACTGTCCCAGCTCTCCCTCTGCAAACCCCACTCAGATGAGCACGGCAGACAGAGATGCCCACTGGATGTGAACAGTCAGTTTCCCATTACGAGGCTGAAAGCCACCCTCCGTCACACAGGAGGTGCCTCATTCCCAGAATGTTCCAGCAATTAAGGCCTCTCATTCTTCCACTGCCCTCCATCTGCCCCCAGGAGCCCAAGTAGGCTCCAGCCTGGCCTGGAAGACTGAGGTGGGCTGAGGGTCAACCCTCCAGGGAGCAGTTCCTAAAGACTCTGGTGCACATGTGGACTGAAACTTTGGGCACATCCTGTGTGTTCTTGGTGGGAAGTCCCTGTCTCCATTTCTGAAGCCCTCTCGGGGTCAGAGCCTCCAGTGCTTCTTAAGGAGCAAAACAGTCATACTAATAATGATAAATTCCCTGGCTGAGGGCTTACTGCAGCCAGGCTTCAAGTTTCTCAACCTCGGTGCTACTGACATTTTGGAACAGGTCATTCTTTATGGTGGGGGCTGTTCTGGGCACTGTAGGATGTTTAGTGGCATCCCTGGCCTCTACCCACTAGATGCCAGTGGCACCTCCACCTCCAGTTGTGATAGTCAACAATGTCTCCAGACATTGCCAAATGTCTCCTGGGGGGCAGAGCAGTCCCGGGTTGAGACCACTGCACTTTACATTTCTGTGTCTTAGTTCAATCCACACCACTCGCCTGTGAGGGAGGATTCTCTCTCTCTATGTCCCCATTATATAGATGGAGAAACTGAGGCTCACAGAGGAAGAGTGATGGGTCCCAGGTGACACAGAGAGGAAGCAACAGTCAGATGGCAAAGCCAGTTACGGCCACCAGGCCACAGGGATAAAAAAATCCCAGCTTGGCGTGAGACGACATTACTCACTTTCTCAAGCTCTTCAGCAAACGGGTGGCCCTTCTCCGTGATTAATTCCATAGCAAACCTATGAGAAAAAAGGAAAAAGAATTTGCCTCTAATATAACGTTCCCCAGGCCCTGTCTTGCTGTAAGGAAATAGATGCTCAGGTGATAGGCCATTTAGATAATTTGGCTATAACAGCCACCGTGTTATTTTTCTTGCTGACAAGAACATCATAACCTTCCATTTGGTTAAGGGTATTTGTTTCTCAAAATGCTTTCTCTTAGACTCAAGACTCATCCAGTCAATGATTCCTTTTTCAGTGTCCGCTCTGGCTAGGCCCAGGTGATTCGGCGGTCAGCAGAGGTGACACAGGCTCTGTTCAGCAAGACCTGAATTGAATATTATGTGACTGAAGGTAGAGTTGCAAACTGAGGTCAGTGCTCTAAAGGAAAGGGCTAGATTCCTGGGATACCTGGTCTTGGCAAGGGTTCACGGAGGGCTTCCTGGAGGAAGTGATGCTGGGCTTGGGACCTGAAAGGCTGAGTAGGGGTTTCCTGGTAAGGTGGGGAGGGGCAGGGAAAGCAAAGTGCCCCCGATGCAGGTCAGGACCCTGGCCATGGCCTCCCTCAGAGCTCTGCACTCTCCTTCTGTACCATCAGGGTCCTGGTGGGAACACATAGTGGTGCTTTTGAAGGGTTCCCAGAGGAGAGCTTCACAAAGGGACTATTAACAGAGTATGGGAAGTTATAGAAACTGACAATGGATGGCAAAGGTCAGCAAAAGCAAGAGCCTGCAGAGGCCAGGGAGGGTCAAAGGCGCTACCCTGGAGAGAGCCGGATTCTCGGTGGGGCCATCACCAGGACCATGCAGGTGGGAGAGAGTAGGTGGAGAGCCCAGCTACCATCAGAGCCACACACAGCTGGGGAACGGGCGATAAATAACACCCGCACCTCTCTCCACCCACTGTCCCATCTCCTGCTGGTGCCCGCTGGCTGGACCCACCAGAGAGCCAGAGGACAAGGGAATCAGGGTGAAACAGTTGCCAGGTAATAAAGGCCAGCATCCCAGGCACCCAGGCAAAGAGAGGGTGGAGAATGGCTTTGAAAGGGCAGGTGAAGAACCACCAGCACATCCTCCTAGCCCATCTTACAATGAGAACTAAATAAACAAATGTATAATTAGCTGTCTAGTGTTGGTCTTCCCCTCTGAATGCAAGGAAGGACTACGCAGGCTGGGACACACACAGTCTGTCCCTCAGGCCTGGAGCGTAGCACGTGCTAAAGATATCTGTCCACGAAGGATGTTCCCATGATGCCGGCTAGTGGGAGGCCCCTCCTTGGTGCCTGCCCCAACCCAGCTCCCGCCACTTGTAGGTGCCCCTTTAGTGTCTGTCTGCACCCCGCCCCTGCCCCCCGGGACGGTGGGCTCCGTGAAGGCAGGGCTGAGAATCTGCTTATCAGTACCTGGCACACAGAGATGTTGGATCTTCTGACAAAGGAAGAATCCACAATTGAGGTTTCACCAATGTCCTGCCCCACATCAGCTGAGAGATGATGGCTTGTTGATTTGCTAATTTTAGGCAGCTGATGCTAGAACTTGCCTTTCCCTCCCCTCTGCCCACTTCATCTTGTGTCTGTCTGCCGGGCACACACCCCCCCCCAGCCCCATTGCGCCCCCCACCTTCCCACACACCAAGGGGTCTACCTTCTCTACTCTGCTGGAGGGCTATCTACACCTCCCATGATCTGTCCTGAAGATCTCACTTAGGCCCATCCTTGAAAAATGGAAGCCATGAACGGGTAAGTTTTAATAATAATAATAGCTGGCATTATTATTACTTGTGCTAGATGCTGTCTTAAGGTTGAAACATGGAATTGTCTCCTTTAATCCTAACAAGAACCTAATGAGATGGATACTATTACTATGATCACCTGACAGAACAGGAAACTGAAGCTCAGAGAGGTCAGGTAATTTGCCTGAAGTCACACAGCCAGTCAGCAGTGGTAGAGAATTGGAAGCCAGGTCTGTCTGATTCCCATAACCTTTACCTACATGGCCTCATCAGAGCTTCTGAACCGGCACTTGAGCTAACTGCCGCTCACACTGTCAATAGTTGGCTGAGCTTTGAGGACTGGATGACTGTTTTCAAATATTTGCTGCCCCTCCCACCGCAATCTTTCTGGTGTGTCCACATGACTAGCTCTGGCCAATGAAATGTGAGCAGATATGATGTCACTTCATGGAAGCTTTAAGAGCCAGCATGAGCTTTGGTATGATCTTGTTTCCCTCTATTACACTTACTGCTGTTGTTCCAGTCAGAGGCTGTCCTGCCAACCCGGGACCCAGAATGATATCATACAGAAAAGAAACACACCCAACCGGCGATAGGCTTGAAGAGCACGACATACATCTTGGGTGTTGGAAGCCATGGGATTTGGGGGTTGTCTGTTACCACAGCATGGCCTGGCCGGTCCTGACTAATTCCCTGAGTCCACCTCCTAAACTCTGGCTGTGTATGTGCTTATTTAAAGCCAAGGCTCACACAAGGGATAACACCTGATGAAAGGAGCACATGATGCCAGAAAGGAAAGGTGTCTGCAGTCTGGCAGCCTGGGGGCTGACCAGGAGCCCTGGTGCTTCCAGGCCAAGGCAGGTTCGCCAAGGGTTGGCAGCCTCCAGGACTAGCGAGCATTCTCGAGAGCTTCACATGAATTACGTGTACTGATGCCCAATGCAAACTCAACCTCAAGGCCCATCCCATCACCCTTACCCAATGGCTGAACTTAATTCATCTGTAGTTCCCACGGCTTCAAACACTTGGTCATCTTTGGGTCTCCTTTCCCCAGTGAAGGTGCTAGAAAACCCTGTGAAAAAATGTTTAGCCACTCAAATTAAGATTTTTTTTTCCTGATATGCACTTTTGCAGAAAATGTTCCATTTGAAGTATAACATATATATACAAAAATGTTTGGATAAGTGTACAAGTTGAATTGCTACTAACCGAATAATACCTCTGCAATCAGCACCCAAGAGACCAGCACCCTAGAAGCCCCATGCACTCCCTTTCAGTTGTTACCCTTCAAGGGTAACTACTATCCTCACTTCTTTCTTGATATGCTTTTATTTTAAACTTTAAAAATCATGTACTGGGCGGCTCAGTTGGTTAGAGCACGAGCTCTGAACAAGGTTGCCGGTTCAATTCCCGCATGGGATGGTGGGCTGCACCCGCCCCCCGACTCTATCCCCGCAACTAGGTTGAAAACAGCAACTGGACTTGGAGCTGAGCTGCACCCTCCACAACTAGATTGAAACAACTACTTGACTTGGAGCTAATGGGTCCTGGAAAAACACACTGTTCCCCAATAAAATTTCTTTAAAAAAAAAAATCATGTACTAACTATCCTGCTAAAGAAACACATGTACATATTATGTATACATTATATTTCACATAAAATCAAAGTGCTCTGTATCACTACCTCGGTCACATTTTCCATCTTTCTTCCCCAACCACCGATATAGAGAAAACCTGCTCCTGACAGCCAGGAGCTGGCCTGGCGCTGTCAGACAGACCTTGGTGCTGCCAGGTGCTGGCCTGGGACTCCCCCGGGGGCTGTGGTGCTTCCCTGTCCAATGCAAACGCTTTCACAGAACACCATCAGACAGGCCACACTGTGACTGTGACAGATCAAGACCAAAATGGAACCTCTCCTAATCACGTCTGAGCACAGAACACTCTCCACACTATAAAAATGACCAAACGTCCCCCTTTCCTGGCGAATGTGAGTGACTGCTGCTTCTTTATCAATTACACCAGATGCACTGTGTACCTTTAGCCCTAATCTGTCCCTCTCCCCTTCTAGATTAGAATGATTAAGACACCCAATTACAGAATTATCCCTGCTTCTGACATCAACCAATCCAGGCAGAGCCCCACCTCCTTGAACTCTCCTCAAATCACTTACAAGCCCAATCCTGTGAGTCCTTCCCAGCATCCTCTTGTTGAGCTGTCCCACAGTTCCCATGGCGTGCCATCTCCCTAAGTATAATGAGCTAACTGACCCAACTTTATCTGACTAGGTTGACCGTGGAGTGCTTTGGCTGGAAGGTATCAACACCACCTTCTGTTTGCCGTACCTGCACGTATTTTCTTTTCGTTTTATTGTGGTAACATATACGTAACATAAAATTTACCATGTTTAACCGTTTTTAAGTGTATAGTTAAGTGGCATTAAGTACATCCTATGCATGTTTTTATACTTCTACTATATAAGCATACAGTAAGTCCTCTCTTAACATCGCTGATAGGTTCGTAAAACCTGCAGCTTTAAGCAAAATGAACAAAACCAATTTTATCACAGACAGATTGATATAAACAAGAGCTACGTTCCTACTGCATCTCATCAACATTGTAATGAAATAATGTTGAAGAAAACATATTTGAGGACCTGCTGTACTCGTATATCCAAAAATCAATATATGAATATACTAGTGATCTGTACATTTTAAACTTTAGAAAACGGTATCATACTGATATATTCTTTTGCATCTTATGTCTTTCTGGACCATATTATGTTCTGGTATTTTTTATATTCTCAAATATATGTGCATTCAAAAAACATAATATTAGTATGTACAATAAACAATGAAAACCCTTCTGTCCATTCCTTTCTCCCACAACTCAATCTTTCTCCCAGGTAACAGTCCAAGGTGTAACTTTCAGACTTTTCTATGTATACCTGAACATGCATATATATACACACATATACACACACTTTTATCCCAATGATTCCAGGTATTTGGGTGTTCTGCAACTTGCTTATATTACTTACTATATTTTGGGCATCTTTCATCTCACATCACATTTTGGTGATGTACACTGAGATCTGCCACATACTTTTTAACGGCTGTAAAAAATTTGGAAGAACTTGAAAATGGAGTCCGCCACGTCTCTCTTTGCATTTTTCACCGGTCCTCACCCTACCTTTGTCTCCTGTTTTGGTGTAAATCTTGGGGATCTTGGGTGTCTTCGAGGGAGGTTGTGGCCTAATGAGAAAACATACATCAAGAGGTGGTGAGTGGGGATGGCTTACACAGTGGGGCACCTCTTTCCATGGGTCCTAGCTCGCTGCTCACAGTCTCAGAGGCAACACTTACCCACCTCGGCCTAAATCTCTTATTGACATCTTTCCCCTCCATCCCTCCTAATTTTAAGCCTTTTGTGGGTAAGCTCTGTGTCTTGCCTACATCCATGTCTGCTGAGTAGCTGATGGAGTGCACTGCTCAACGCAGAAGCTCAGTAAATATTCACTGAAAGAATTCATTGATCACTTTGCACAGTCCCTGCACTGTGCTAAGTGGATTACCGGCATTATGTCCTGAATTTATCCCTGGAATCTTCCCACAGCCCCAAGGGTTGACACTATCTGTGACTTTCATTTTACTGTTGAGGAGACTGCTGTTCACAGGATGAGGCTCACCTTCCTAGGTCACCCAGGGAGGAAGAGGTAGGGGTGGGATTCAGGCCCAAGACCATCTTACTCCAGACCCCAAACCGTTGCTTCTAACCTACCCAAACTGTTGCTTCTGCCTTACGCAAGCTCTTACCCTCTACTCCACCAAGTCAGGGCCTCTTGGAGTAAAAGAAACCTGGGCTACTTCCATTCTATGAAACTTCAAGTATACTCAGAAATAAAGAATTGCCAAAACAAGGCTCGAGAATTGGCATTTTCAAACAGCAACATCTTTAATACAGACTTCAACATGAAAGTGTGGCATTACAAAGTTATTCAAATGTTGAATTGCTGGATCTGTGAAATATATGACTCCATTATTAATTCATGGTACTTTACAGGTTCTGAGGTCTGGGAACGGGGTGCAAGTGTCAAGGTATATGACGACAACCATCTTTAGATCATATGGTGTATCTCTGTGTCTGAAAGTATAAACTGCTTTGGAGCTAGGTCAAAATCTGAATTGGCCCCCCTCCCCACCACTGTGAGGCCAGGTAAGCCTGCCCTTTCGGCCCACATGGGATATACCCTGCCCTGGTGGATGACAGCTGAGCTTCGTGCCGACTTGTGCCATGAAATGTTGGTCTCTGGCTCCCACGGTGCCCACGTTGCCATGGTGACGTCAGGACTAAGAGAGGATATCACCTGGCGGGTGCCGTGGTGACCTAACCAGCGGTGTGACGTAACTATGGCGACGACACCACAATTCACGGCAGGTGTCCGAGTTACCCTCCCAGCCGGGCACTCACCCGTCCCCGTCTTCCACGCCCGGGGGCCCGCGGCTCTGGAAACGGGGACGAAGTAGCTTGCCGGCGCCGAGGCCACCGCGAAAGCCAAGGCGGCCTCCCAGGCCCCACACAGCCATGCGCCAGGCGGTTGTCGGGGTTGACCCCACCAGGCTCCAGTCCAGGTGCCGGGGTGACTCCACCTACCACCAGCCGCGCCACTCGTCAGTCACCATTTTCCATTGGTCTGTGGCTCTCGGCCCAGGGCGGGACACTCCCAGGAACTTATTTCCCATTGGTTCACGGAAGGAGCTGGGCGGGGAAACTCGTGACGACTTGGTTGGCAACACATATTGGCCAATGTTCGAGCCAATTGGTAAAGAGACTTCCGGATCGCGTGCTATGATTGGCTGGGAGTAAGGAAAGGTTGCCTCCCCCCCCCCCCCGGGGCGCTCAGAGAAGGAGTCCTGGAGCCGCTCGGGCTCCGGCGTTTAGGGGCTACGGTGGCGGCAGGTGAGAGGCCGTGGTCGCGGGGTCGGGTGACGCGAGGTCCTAGCTAAGAGTTAGGACGACCCTAGGCTGGGCTCCCGGCTTCTCTGGCTTAGTTTCCCCAAGTCAGAATCCATCCTGAGGTGAGGGGTCGATGACTTCGAATCTGACATGATTTTGAGTTTCGGGGAAGCAATAGGTTTCCCCGCTAAGAAACGGGGATCACGATAGTACTTAACTCATAGCGAAGTTCAGGTCTTATTATACTCGGGTAATTAATGCATATAAAGCCTTAAATGGAGGTCAATTTTGCATTGTTTATAAAAATCTAAAATGCGCACACCCGTGGACCCAGCAAGTCACTTTCTAGAACTCTGTTGTAGAGATCCTCGCTTACGTGTGCAAAAAAAGGGGCGTTCTAGATGTTTTCTGCAGCCTGTTTATAATTGTGACACATTGGAAACAGCCTCCATGTCCAGGAATGAGTTCTTTTTGGTCCACTCTTTCACTTAAATCTCTGCCTTTAATAGTAATAGTAATAAAAGCTGGAGCCAAGAACAGAGCCAGTAATAAGCAGCTCTCAGGAATCGAGTGATTATGATGTTCCAGACACTGCTAAGTGTTTCCCTTGCATTATTTAATTTAACCTTACCCAAACCTATTGAGGCAAGTACAGTTATTATCCCCATATAACACGAGAGGAAACGGAGGTTCATAGCCCTTTCAGTTAGCTAAGAGGACTTCGCGGGGGGTGTAGAAGAGCCGGGGTTTGAACCCAGGTCTTTCTGATGTGTCTAGTTAACTGCTGCCCTGCACTGCCTTTTGAGCATGTAGCAAGTGCTAAGGGGTAGCTGCCTTTTTTGTTACAGTGATGAGCTTGGACTAAACACTTTCTAAGATCTTTAAGATCTGGGGACCTTCCATCCTCCCTCTGGCCTTCCCTTTCAGAATTCCCAGGAGCCATGTTGTCAGAAGACCTGCTGGTGTCGGCTCCAGGGAAAGTCATCCTTCATGGAGAGCACGCAGTGGTCCACGGCAAGGTAAACGGCCCCCAGAGCCTTCAAGGATTGGACACCACTCCTCTCTTTTCCTAATCTCACAAGAAGCCAAAAGGAAGCCTTGGGCGTAGGCATAGCCCGGGAGGAGATCAGAGAGAACGGTTTCTCCCCAGCCAGGCGAGGAAAAGACAGGTCTTACGCCCACTGTAAGCCTTCTCTGGCCCACTCAATTAGATAGCAAAAAGGTGATAGGTAAGGCCCCACGAGGGGATTGAGATCACCCGGGAAAGTGAGCGCTGGTGGAGAAGAAAAGAGGTTTGAGGACCGAATTTGGGGTCTTTCAGCATTTAGAAATTGGGAAGATGAGTAGGATTCAGCAAAGGAGCCTGAAACATGCATCGTCTCATTTCACTCTTACAACTGCCCTCTGAGGTTCAATTTTTAATCCTGTTTTCCCAATGTGGTGGTTGAGGCCTAGGAAAGATGGGAAACTTGACCAAAGTCCCGTACACCTTGGTAGAGCTAGTAGCGAACCTAAGTCTGTCTGAACCCAAAGCTCGTGCTTTTTCCACTCATCTGTATCATTCTTTACGCTCTTAACTTATATATTTATGTTTGGAAACATGGTGATTATGGGGAAGTTATTCCTCGGTGCTGGGAACCTCTGACGTTTTGCAGAGGGAAAGCAAATGTAAGTAGATATTAACTCCTGATTGATTGGTAGTGGTTGTGCAGAGGCTTAGTGGGAAAGTGTGCCCAAGGATGATTAGCAGCGCCTGCCGAAGGCATGGGTGAAAGTGGCCTTTGTTATAGTACTTGCTTCCCCGAGCACGTTATCATTGGCCCCTTTTCCCTGACAGGAGTCATACTCGTTGCCACCCACCCTCAGGCTAATTGCTTCTGCCCTTTATTCTGTAGGTAGCACTGGCTGTGGCCTTGAACTTGAGAACATTCCTCCGGCTTCAACCCCACAGCAGTGGGAAAGTGAACCTCAACTTACCCAACGTTGGCATCAAGCGGGCGTGGGATGTGGCCAGGCTTCAGCTACTGGACGTGAGCTTTCTGGGTAAGTGCAGGGAGTAGGAACCAGGTATGGGAAGAGCGTGGGCCCTGAAGGGAGCGGGGAAGACAATGGCTGGGGAGTTATTCCAAGCTGTCCTGAGGGAGCCAGAGGCCAGCCACGCTGGGGGTGTTTTCTCTCCTGACCCCGTACAAGTAGCTTCACTTCTTTATTAAATTTTTTTTTAATTTAAAAAGCATAAAATGATGCACTAGATCTCTGTGGGCTGTTGCGAGCAGGTTATTGAGGCCTACTGTTGAGTGACAGAACACAAGATGCACAACAGCAGGTATACTATGAGGGGGAATGACACAGATTAAGTATCAGTATGTATGTAAATGCATAGAAAACGGCTGGAAAGATACACATCCAAGCGACAATGTGAATTAGTTACCTCTGGGGGGGTCCTAAGGTCCAGGGGTGGACAAAGGGAGCCCTCCTTCTATGGTGTTATTTTAACAAGGAGAATGTATTGACTGTTTGTACAATTAAAAATCATTTCAAATAAAAGTAATTTATGCTTATTATTGAAAAATACAGTCAATACTGGAACATTTCACGTAAAAAAAAAAAACCAACCCTACCTATTATCACCACCCCCTCACTCCCCTACCCCCCTTGACAACTCTTAAGCATTTTGGTATTATTTTCTGTAGATAGATTGAGATAGGGAGATATCTTGTTTTTTTGACTAAAATTGGAATGGGCCGTGTAATCTCTTCAGAAATGTGTGGGTCTCTTTTTCTTCTTTAGTATATCAAGACTGTCTTTCAATACATGACGACCCCCGTGCTCATTTTTGATAGCTTTGGGAATGTCGTGTCCACTCCTACGCACGCAAGGTTCTTTGATCAGCGGAGTCACCACCTGCATTAGAGCTGGAGCGTGTATTCTGTTCTCACCTTGCTGTCTCCTCTCCAGACTGACGCCTCATTGTTTGGAATGGTGTTTCTCAGTCAGCGTGGGGCAAGTGGGACTCCTCCACGGGTTTATCCCTAACTGTTCCCTGTTCTCCATGAGAATTAGTCCACGGCCAGCCACTTGCAAATACTGTAGGGAGATGGAGTAAGTTGAAAACGCCCACATTTGGGTGACGATTTTCAACCTCAGCCCTGCCTTGAGATCCTCTGGGGAGGTTTTTGTTGTTTGTAACAATACAAATGGATTCCTGCCCCTGCCCCTATCCTGTTGAAAATCAGTGGTGGTGGTAAGGGACAGAGAGGTTTATTTTGAAGGGAGTCCCCCGAGGTGATCCCAGGGACACCTCAATTAAGAGCCACTGCTTTGGAGCATGCCTCAGAAAAATGGCCATCCAGAGCAGCGTAGACCTTGCTTTCCATGGTGCACGGCGTTGCCCAGCCAGGCCGGAAATGTTCCCTGAGAACTGGCTGCTGCTGTATGTCAGTAGCATGGATGGAAGTAGACAGGGCTGATGGGACATGGCTGTGTGAGCCTGGGCAGGTCATTTAATGCTCTGAGCCTCTGTGAGCAGAGTCACGTTGTCTTGGAGGATGGCTGTGAGGACCCAGCAGGATCAGAGGTGGGCCTAGGGCCGTGATGCAGAGTGCAGTACCTACGTGAGGGCTTTTGCTAGTCACTTCTCCGAGACAAACGGAATCTGAGCCTTTGGGAGACTGATGTTTTCTATTCAGTTGTAGGCATCTGCCTTTTTTTGTTTGTTTTATTCTTTCAGTGTTCTTTGGTTCCCTCCTAATAGTCATAAACACAGTGAACATTTATTGGGCATTTATGTGTACCAGGCACTGAGCTAGTGTATTATGGTTGCTAGCAGTCTTAGAATTCTGCAGCCTTCCCTGGAAGTAGATGGTGTTATTCATCCCCATTTTATTGATGAGAAAATTGAGGTTCAGGGGCCAGTGGCTCAGGTTGCACAGCTTGTTTGTTGGTGCTACAGAAAGGATTCAGACCCAGCTCTTTCCAGACTCCAGAGCCCAGGCTTTTAAGGAGCCATTTCATCCCCATCACAGACCTCTGGAATGTCTGTGCTCTCAGTGATACTGTCACTGGCTTGGCTGCCTTTAGTGTATCATTCATTCAGTCAACCCATAGCACTTAATACATGCCCCGCCCTGAAGTTCCTAACACAGGCACACCAGCTCAGTTTCATGTCCCTGTAGAACTGGATGTGCAACTCGGGGAGTGATGTGTAAAGGTAAGCTGGTCAGACTTGCTCTGCCACCTCAGACAGACGTGCTCCAGCCTCTTACATGCATTGGAAGAGAAACTGCTACCTGGCCTTTCCCCCTGCCCAGGCTAGTCTCCACCTTTCATGTTCAGTGGTTTTATTTTTGAGTTTCGTGGTTCTCGCTAATTATGTTTTGGGAAAGGGAAATATTTTGGGAATAATGTAAATACGACCTTTAGGATTGGTTCTGTATGATGGAAGTCAAAGCTAGGCCTTTGATTGAGCTAGCCTTCATTTGCGTGTATATGTGTGTTTCTAAACTAGTGTTAAGCACTTACTATGTGCCCAGAGATGCGTCAAGGATTTATTTTACCTTATGTTCATGACAGCCTTGTCCCTATTTATCCTGGAGAGAAGCTGAGGTTCAGAGAGGTTAAGTCACATGCTCAAGGCTACAAAACCAGTCCGTGACACAGTCGGGACCCAAACCCAAGTCTACCTGCCTCCAAAACCTTAGGTCTACTGACAGACTGTGGTGCTCGGACCATGTATCCCTGCCCATCCAGATTCCAACTCCCATGGCTGCTCAGTTCTTTGCATTCTGTTATCTGTAAAACACCTGAGATGCCCTCACCCATCTGTGTGTGCTTGTTTGCCTGTGTGACAGAGCAAGGGGACGTCACCACGCTCACCCCAGAGCAAGTGGAGAAGCTGAAGGAGGTGGCGGGCTTCGCCAAGGACTGTGCCGACCAAAAGCACCTGGCTGTGCTGGCCTTCCTTTACCTGTACCTGTCCATCTGCCGGAAGCAGAGGTGTGTGTGTGGTCTGGGGAAGGAGTCCTGGTTCAGCCTCCCCTGGAAAATCGGCAGGGGTTTCTCCAATTTGGGCTGCAGGAAGAATGCACGTGCTCCCTTCCAGGTTTCACAAGGTGGGACGACAGCCGTGGGCTGTCCCACCACGTGCCAGGTGCCGTGATAGACACTTACATATGGCCTGCTTATAATATTCACAACAACCCTATGAAAGAGGCACTGAAGGCCATGCAGCTAGTTAGTAAGTGGTAGAGCTGGGGGCCACCTCCGTCCACTTGAACCCTAATGCTGACATTCTTAACCTCACCTTGCCTCCTCTGCCCTCTTCAATTCAGTAGAATCTAAGCCGCCTTCCATTCTTGGATTGGATCCACTGTGCGTTTTCTCCATGCCATGTCCATAACCAAGTTGCTCAAGAGTCAACTGTATAATATTTCTAATCCTCCAAGAGTTTTCTAATCCTCTCTCACCCCCACCTTGCCTCTTTTGGGTTCAAGTGCCCAGGGTGTGGTAGAAAGAACCTGAGCCCAGATGTAGAGGGCAACGGGCTAGCTGAGGCGCTGGGCCCACCTCTGCCATTGACTCGTGGCGGGACCTGTTCCCCATCCCACAGGCTCCAGGGAAATGCCATGATTAGCAGAGAGAAGCCTGTATCCATTTCACCCCTTACGATAAGATCTGGGTTCTCTGCTTTTAGGGAAGCCAGCTCCTAGAGGGTGACAGTCCTATGGAGGAGGTGTCACGTGGTGATAGCATGGGCTGAGTCAGACTGCGTGGGTTCAAACCCTTTACTGCTTGCTTGAAGTTCTTACCTTTCCTGAGCCTCAGTTTTCTCATCTGTAAAATGGGGATAGTAATAGTACCTCATAGGGTTCTTGTGAGGTTAAATGAGTTAATTTATCTGAAGGGCTTGACACAGAGCCTGGCATGTTGCTTGATAAATGTTAGCTATTATTGTTAATATTATTGTTGTTATTATTTTCCTCAGAAAACAGAGGATTAGAACTATTTTACAGTTGACACCTGGGTGAGGTAGCCACGTGTAGTTTGAAAAGGCAGTTCAGTATTATTGTATATTTGGAAAACAGGAAGTGTACTTAATGGAAATTACTGAACATAATGCTTGATAATTCTCGCTTCGGGGAAAGACCCGTTAAGATGCCAGTGACCCAAAGCAGGCCTGTGTTACACGTGTTGGGAATCACTGTCGGTGGGAGAGGCATCCTGTCATGAACACAATCACCGCACTGCAACGAGGCAGCCGTGGAGCGAGCTGATGTGCTGGGGGATCCTTGGAGGGGGCGGGGCGGGGCTAGGAATGGCCTCTGGGTGGTCATGGGAAGTTTCACTCCAGGAACATCATCTGAGAAGGGTCTTGCAGGATGGGCTGGAATTTCCATGGGGGAGAAAGAGGTGCAAAGCTATTCCGGGCAGGGGAATCAGCCCAGGCCCTGCTACAAGCAGGGCCATGAACAAGCCTCGCTTGTGTGGGGAGTCAGGCCCTGCCAACGTCCAGTCCTGCGCCTGGGCTGCTGGTTCAACGGTGGCACCTCACTGCCCTTCAAGTCACGCCCTGTGCCCTGCTGTGTGTGTTTCAGGGCCCTGCCCAGCCTGGACATCGTGGTGTGGTCGGAGCTGCCCACCGGGGCCGGCTTGGGCTCCAGTGCCGCCTACTGTGTGTGTTTGGCAGCCGCCCTCCTGACCGCGTGTGAGGAGATCGCAAACCCGCTGAAGGACGGCGAGCCCACCAGCAGGTAATCACGGCCCTCGCCCTGCGTGTTGTCCTTCCTGTGGGCTGGGACCTGAGCCCGGGTTCCCTCGCTGAGGGCTGACCACCGCCCTGTGAGATGAGAGGTGTCACGTGGTCACTTCTCAGACGAAGCTGAGGGACAGAGAGGCCAAACAGCTGGCCTGGGCCACCCAGCTGGTGATGACAGTGGGATTTGAACCCAGGCAGCCGGGATCTAGAGCCTGAGCTCTTCGCCCCTGCGCCAAACCACTTTAGTTCCCCAACCCCCAGCCCCTCACCCCCACCTTGCCTCTTTTGGGTTCAAGTGCCCAGGGTGTGGTAGAAAGGACCTGAGCCCAGATGTAGAGGGCAACGGGCTAGCTGAGGCGCTGGGCCCACCTCTGCCACTGACTCGCGGTGGGACCTAGGCCGGGCCACTGCGCCCCTCGGCGCCTCAGCGCCTCCCCTGTAAATGGCAATACTGAGACCAAGGCGGGTGTGGCCAGGTCGTATCAGATGGGTATGAAGAAAACTATGATATGCCTAAAAATAAGCATAGGAGGTATGTCTGTCGGATGGCGTCTCCCTTCCCGCGGGTTCTGGACTTGTCTCCACAGAGGGCACCTGACCCCTGCAGCTCTCGCTGTGAGCCTGAGGCTTGTCAGGACAGGGTCCGCTGGCAGATGTTCCCGTCACTGAGAGAATACAGCTGGAGAACCACCCTGAGCACAGGGGTTACGCACTTTGCCCTGGGCCTCACCCCAGGAGTTGGGGACCAGGCCCCAGAAGCCAGCCTGGCAGTTTTTGGCAAGGCCTGTCCCTGGACCTACAGGGCTTGGGGGAGCCCTCCCGCTGGGGGGGGGGACCCTTCTGCTGGGGGAGGGGGGGGGTTTGGTCCCAGCCACATGGAGCCCAGGTGTGCTGAGTTGGGTGGACTGCTGGCCTCGTCCGTCTCCCGGTGTAGCCAGCAGACCAGAAGGCTGCACAGACAGTGCTGGCTGCCAGGATGGACACAGCTATGTGTGTTTCCACCCAGAGCAGTGTTCCTGTGCCCTCCGTGCCCGCTGCAGGGGCACCCCAAAGAACATGGTGTGCGGGCCTGCGGCTGAGGCACTCCGTCCCCTTCCTGAGTCTGGCCTTAAACTGAGGTTTTCTTCCTCAGCCCTGAAAACGCTGTGGTTTTCTGTTTCCCCAGGCCCCGCTGAGTGCCCTGCTAGAGTTCTGTCTCTGCCAGTAATTCCTCTTGTGAGACATGGAGGCTAAAATATACTTGAGTTCAGACTGAGCCCAAAGGTCACTTTGGTCCTCATGGCTGCAGTGGATCTGGGAGCTGTTGATGTCATATCTCTGTCGTCATTCCCCAGAGTCACTTGGAATGGTTCCTATGCGTGGAGAGGAGGTGGAGGGATGGGAGGCGGCTGTTGGTCAGGGGAAGAATCCATCAGGTAGTGGAGATTGCACCTGGATTTCACAGGAGGTGGTGGTTTTCAGGAATTTCAGGAAGGTTTGCCTTCTAGCTCGCTGCGTGGCCTTACAACACCTTTTTCCTTGTGGGGCCCCGTTTCCTCTGCAAGCGCAGGGCTGCTCCACGTGACCCCTTGGGGGGGCCTCCCAGCCTTGACCCTGGGGTAGGACAGCGATTCAGGACAGAGGCTGTGAAACCGCTGCTCATCACTGTGTGCTAATCGCTGATTCTAACCCAGATCAGTGGAGGCCTGGTCGCCCTGGGTCCCCTGAATAGACACCTACCCACAGGCCAACCGACTGGAAGGCAGAGGCTGACTTGTGTGTCTGTGTGTGGGGGCTTCTTCAGGCTGCTGCTGCCAGTTCCCCGCCTCCCCTACAGGCCCAGTCATCCCTTCTCAGTCCCTCGGGGGAGATCCAGAGATGGCCGGTGCAGGCCGGGCTCGCCACGGGGGTCTGGAGTTTGAATTCATAATGGTTGTGCTTTTCGCCTACTGGCAGGGCTTTGGGAAACAGTCTTCACTCTGCTTGCTCTCCTTCATGGCTGGCGTCGTTCAGGAGCGGGCACCTCTGTAAGGGCCTGTTCCAGTAATAGCGACCACCTGCTGCTTACAGACACCTTGCATTCAATACACCTGCAACTAGCCTGTGAGGTGGGTGGAGTTACCATTCGACAGATAAGGAGAGGGGCTCAGAGAGGTTAGGTAACGGGCCCAGAGTCACTCAGCTCGTAAGAGGTAAAGTAGGACCGTGTGAACCGTCCTGGGGCTCTCTGCACTCTGCCAGACAGGAGGGTTTCGGAGGGAACAGAAGGAATGGCACAAGATTTAGCTGGAGAGGTTCCAAGCTGTTTTTCTTGTCTTTCTGAATTCAAGGGCCCAAGCCCCTTTGCTTTTTGGTCTCCTATGGCCCCTGCCTCTGCCGCCCGAGGGGACCCCTGGCCCCCACTCACCACTACGGTAAAGATGAATTTCTGTCTCTTCTTCAGGTGGACAGCGGAGGATTTGGAATTAATTAACAAGTGGGCCTTTCAGGGGGAGAGGGTGATTCACGGGAACCCCTCTGGAGTGGACAACGCTGTCAGCACCTGGGGTAGGTGCTGCCTTGGGCTTGTTTTCTTTATTCTTATTATTTTTAAGATTTTTACAACACTCACAGATGGCCAGGTTCTGTTGGTTTGGGGTGAATAGAATCAATGGATTCTGAGAAAAATAGCATTTTCCCATTTTGAAGGGAACGGGAGAAATCCCAGCCACACACCTGAATCTGAATTTCAGGTCTGGTGGGACTGGGGTCCGGAAAGCTACAGCTCCGGTGAGCTCCCCGGGGGCAGTTAGTGGGGTGTTCTGTAGTTAAGGCTGCAGAACCGCTGCTGCGGTGTTTGCAGACCACAGGAGTTGAGCTCGCCTCTGGTGAGGATGCTTGCTTATTGGACCTGGGACACAGTCCTGGGCTCCACCATCACCGTGTGGCCTGTCAGAGTGGAACTGGGCAGCCGGAGGGAAGGGAGTGACCCTGGAATCCAAGGCCTGGTGAGGGCTCCCCGGCAGAGCATGGAGTGCCTTCGCGCCCTCCTGGGCCTTTTGTAGCTGACGCTCAGATGATGGTTATGGTGTTTAGTCTGTTCCCATGGATGGGGCAAAACTCCAACCCACCCCAAAAGTTAGCCTCTCTCCCAAAAGGCAAAAGTCTGTAGCTTTTCTGACTGCTGGTTTGTCTCTTTAGGAGGAGTGCTCCGTTACCAACAAGGAAAGATTTCGCCCTTAAAGAGGTAATTAAGCAGCACCTCCCCCATGGCTGCGTCTAGTGGGGGATGACCGTTTCTTTGTTGTGCAACGTGGGGCGGGTGTTCCTGGCTTTCCCCTCCCCCAATGTGGCCCTCCCAGGCCAGGGGCCATGAGGAAGCCCCGTTCTTTCCTTCTCCACTTCAGCTCTTGAATCTTGCCAGGAGGTTACAGGGGAAGCCATGTGTGGCTGTGCCATTCACCTTCCAGAGCGTGGCTGTTCCCCCAGACGCGTGGCTGCTCATTTAGTTATTCATTCACTTAGCAAACAAGAGTTGGTAGCCTCTGTGTTCCCGATGACACTGTACTAGGAACTAGGGATATAAAGATGGACCTTGGACACAGTTTTGGGCAGGTGGGGACAGATAGGCACACAGAAGCGACCCCAAGACAATGTGAGAGTTGCCACAATGAAGCCGCGCAAGGCAGAGCCAGGATGGGAGCCCGAGGGAAGCTTGTGAGAGGCTTAGCGCAGAGGTGACATTTGGCTACTTTCAGCCTGTTTTTTTATGTTTCTTTACCCCCTCCCTCTGGAGTAACTGCAAACATATGTATTAAATTTCCACATCCTCTTTGCACTCAGTAGAAATGTCAGATATATGACGTTTATGGGACAAGCGGGAGTGGGCGCTTTTTGGCTGTTCCCTGAGCCCTCGATCAAGTCGGGTGGTGGAGTTGATCCCAGGTCATTTTGCCACCTCAGTGGGCTTTTCCAGGGTTGTAAGGGTCCCAAGGCTGGCTCGCATCTTCTTTACCCAGGGCGGTCTTCTTTGTGGATGGGTGGCAGGTCCTGGCCCGCTGCCCTTGCCAGCTCAGTGACCTGGGGTGACATATGCTGCACTCCTGCACCTCCGGGATCTTCCTGTCCCAGCCGTGTCAGCTTCAGGGAGCCAGGCCTGCCTCGCTGAAGCTCTTCCTCTGGGTTTCTGAACTTCACATTATCGACATTGTGGACTGGATAATTCTTTTTTTTTTTTTTAAGACTTTTATTGGGGAATTGGGGGAGGGGAACAGCGCTGGGGAATTGGGGGAAGGGGAACAGACAAGTTGCTGTCCTTTTGTTCTTCAGTCTAGTTGTGGAGGACGTTGCTTCACTGGCCCAAGTTGGCACCATCATTGCGCTCTTCCCGGGCGAGGCAGATCAGTCACCGGCTTCTGGACGGCCGCTCACTGCGGCTTGAGGGCCGCTCACGCTGGCTGCTGGCTACACACGGTAGCCCATGGCAACCCACTGCAGCAGGGGCTGCAGCCTACGCCGTTGCCGGCGACTCACGGCAGCCCAGCTCCAGGTTGAGCTGTTGTTCAGCATCTTAGCTGTAGAGGGCCCCGTCACTGGCCCTCATATGTGGGATCCAAACCGGGTCCCTCTGGCGTCCCAAGCCAGCTCTTAACCAACGCGCCACTCGGCCAGCCCTGGATAATTCTTTATAGTGGGGCTGTCCTGGGCCCTGTAGGATGTTTAGCGGCATCCCTGGGCTTCACCCACTAGATGCCAGTAGCACTTACCCCATTTCCCAGTTGTGACAACCAGAAATATCTCTAGACATTGCCACATGTCCCCGCAGGGCAAAATCCCCCTGGGTGACTACCTGTGCTCTACACAGAGGAGGGAGCAGAGCCATTTAGGAGCATGGCACAGCCTCCTCTGCCTGCCTGTGGAGTCGATGGAGTGGAGCCTTAGGGCCCTGGCGGGGCTGGCTCTGCCAGGTATACTAGAGCCACGTGCGGTGACAGCAGGAGGGAACAGAAGGTTCTGAGAGGTCGGGGGCCCCCTCAGGGCTCACAGTCTATCGGACGAGGCAGTCACGACTGTAATCTTTAGAACAAAGGCACCCACAGGGTTCTCTGTCTACTGTGGACGACAGTGTGGCGAGACATAAGTCAGGCAACAGATCTGAGGGTCCTTCACAGAGGCAGTGGTGTTTCATTCACTCAGAGTTTCATGAGAGCCAGTTGTATCCTAAGCACGGAGCTGGGCCCCAAGGATAAAAAACCAATTAAAATGGGGCCTGGGCACGTGCACAGTCAAATGGGGGGAATCAGTAGATGAGCGATGGGGGGGGTTCCAAGGCAGGGGGAGATGGAGAGAGGCCCCAAGGCGTGCTCAAGGGCTGGTTGGTGGTGGTGTGGTAGACAGAGGCTCTGGGGTCCTCAGTCCCGGGTTCGAGCCCTGCTCTGCCAAGTGCCCTTGGATGAGTCACTTCTGAGGCCTCCATTTCCTCATTTATACAGTGGGGATCCGAGCATGAAATCAGAAATGGTATCTATAAAATTCTTAGCTCTTTGTTGACCAAGTTTATTCATCCGTTCCACAAACATTATTGAGCAGCTCCTGGGTGTTGGGGCCTCCTCAGGGAACAAAAGGTCCCACCTTTTTGGAACTCAGCATTTTGTGGGAGGAGACAACTAACAAATAATTTGCTCTGTAAGAGCATGTCAGGCAGTCCTAGGTGTGTTTAGGAAACGTAAAGCAGGGTGAGGGGCTCAAGGTGAACGAGGGAGCTAGTTGGATGGGATGATCAGTGCAGGCCTCTGATGAGATGACATCTAAGCAGAGACCTGAATGAAATACAAGAGCGAGTCATGGAGCTGTTGAGGTTGGAGGTGGGTCCTGAGCAGAGGAAGTGCACGTGCAAAGGCCCTGAGGCAGGAGCATGCCTGGCCTTTTGAGCAGCAGCCAGGAGGCCGGGGTGGCTGAGTGGAGTAAGCACCCAGGAAGGTCAGAGATAAGATGAGATGAGGCTGGGGAGGTAGCCAGGCTGCGGACACGCAGGAGCACTTACAGGGCCTAGCCCCAGGTGATGGTCACAGGATGTCATAGGAGCCCTGGGTTTTGTGGGGCTGGCCTGTGTGCAGAGGACTTATCCAAGAAAGATGAAGAGACAGTACCCAAACTCCTCCCCTCACATGGATAGGAACTCAGAGCAAACCATCCGCTGCTGGCTGCAGGGCGCGACGGTGAGCAGATGGCAGGTTCTCTGGGAAGCTAAGAGGCCAGGCCACATGAATCGCTCTGACGGCTTACGGAGGAGCCCTTTTGCCCCCAAACCGTGCACAGTGCTTCTCCATAAAATAAATGCATTGTTCGCAAAGTGGATCAAGATGCGGCCTCCCAGAATGTGCTGCTCTTTTGAGGAACGGCTTTTCTTTAAAGGGAAGAGAAAAGCCAAATAGAATGTTCATCTTTTGTAAAGTTTAAAAAAAAAAAAACAAGAGCCAGCCTCCAAGGCCGAAAATCGATATTAATTTCATGGGCTTATGGGCGGTGAGATCAAGGAGGTTTCTAGCAGCCTATTCCAGTCCTATTGGATTTTACAATCTCGAGCTGTGAAAAGAAACGCGAATAAAGGTATCAAGGGTTCTGCCCATCCCCTGTTGTCTCAGGCCAGCGCTCATCCAATGAGCCAGAGCTTTTTCTCCACCCTCTGTCCCTGCCAGCAGCTCTCTGCAAGGCAGGTTGGGATGACAAGCAATGGGGGGCTGGAGTCCCCAAAGACAGCTAGCCACAAGGACAATTGGGATTGTGGCTTCAGGAGGGGTTATAAAGCTCAGAGTGCAGGTGGGGACAATGGGCTCATGCTGGAGAGCCGGCTGACTGTGGCCTCCCTGACCCTCCGTTCCCTTACCCGGGGCAGCCTGGCGGGGCCGACTGACTCCCTCTAACCACATCTGGTTTCAGAGCAGGGCGGGAACGGGCTCAGCATGCTGGGAACCCGACTCCTCCACAAGCTGCCCTCCCTCGAGCTAACCTGGGCATCTTCCCTCCCTGCGTGCCCTCTGCAGAATCCATCCCAGGACCTGTTGCTTTCTTTCTAAATCTCCAGCACCCTCCACTTCAGCTCGCTAGGGGGGGCACCCCACGACAGAACCCCAACCCCTTGGACTTGTCACTGTAGAGACTTGGAGCTTCTGACACCATGATATGCTGGGCCCTCCCACGTGCCGAGCACATACAGGTGCCCAGTGAAAGCCCGAGTGAGTGAGTGAGAAGCCAAGGGCAGTGTCTGCCCGCCCAGGGGCTGGCGCGGAGCTGCAGGTGTGGTCGGCTGCAGGCACGCTGGGCTGGGTGTCAGGAGCTGTGCTCCCCGACCCGTTTGCAGCCCCCAGCCCTGACCCAGCTCCTCCATCCTGAACTCACTGGGGACCTGCCTCCCTCCACAGGCCGCCAGCTCTGAAGATTCTGCTGACCAACACCAAAGTCCCTCGCAGCACCAAGACCCTCGTGGCCAGCGTCCAGAACAGGCTGCTCAAGGTGCTTGTCCCACCCTTGGGCGGGTGCCCAGCAGGGTCACGACAGTCACGTTTGGGTGTTGGAGCGCTCCCTGTGCCCCATGGGTTTGCGGAAGGGTGGGGTGAGTGATGGGGAGGCAGTTTTGGCAGAGAAGGAGGTGCTGTCTGTCCACACGTCAGCTGGGAGGAGGGCAGAGATCATTAGATGTGCTGGCTTTGCAGCGAGAATCCCTCGCATATATTGGGGGGCTGGGCGAGGCAGAGCCCAGGCCGGAAGGAGAGGGGTTTCCTCAGAGGGCAGGTATAGGCCATGGGGACAGCTGCTCTCTCTGCCCCATTGCCGGGGCAGCTAGCCACTGCCTGCCTGCCACGAGGACTTACCGGCCCTTGCTTCCGTCCCCGCCAGTTCCCAGAGATCGTGGCCCCCCTGCTGACCTCCATAGATGCCATTTCCCTGGAGTGCGAGCGGGTGCTGGGAGAGATGGCGGCGGCGGCCCCGGCCCCAGAGCACTACCTCGTGCTGGAAGTAAGAGCCCGTCTGCGGGATCCGGGGTCACTCACCCACACCACTGGCCAAAGCAGGGGCTCCCCAGTAGTCCCCTGCGGGGCCCTGTGCGTGCACACACGAGCCAGTGTGCCTTCATTTTTAAGCCTCTTTCCAGTTGACTGGGGTAATTAAGTCAGAGGATGCACAGAAAGTGCTGAGGGCAGTGCCTGGCTCGGGGTAAGCTCGATGGGCCAGGTTTGGGGTCATGCGTTTAAGGAGCCCCAGGATATTGCTGACACAGTCCTCCATGGGTCCAAGGGCGATTTCTTACTTGGCTGCCTCTTTCCTGCTGTTTTTGCTAACTGCATTTGTTCATTCGGTAACTATTTATCACCTGCATGCTCTGGATCAGACATGGTTTAAGACGGCTTTCATCGTCGTTACTCTAGCCACTGCCCTTTGCATAATTCTAGTGGAAAGGTTGAGACCTCGTGATTTGGATTTAATCAGGCCCGGGTCCGAATCCTGGACCCTCTTCCCCACCGCCCCGCCCCTCCATCCCGGAGTGCCTTAAAAACAAAAGCAGTGAGGTCCCATGGGTGACACACAAGCACAATGCCTGAGGAAACAGCAGCTCAGTAAGGAAGCCAGAGGGCCCGGGCTCACCCTCGGACACGGTCCATCTGGCCTGGTAAATGTGGGCTGACAAAAAGCCATCTGGCTTTCCTTGCAGAGCCACAGGATCAGGCAGCCCCACGCCGTGGCTGTGCAGCAGCAGTCAGCTAGAGGTGCAGAGGGGGCCCCTGTGGTGGCCACTTCTCCCCAGTCCCTACCATTCCCTATGTATTAGCCCACAGCTGCTACAGTCTTTGCCTGGGGCCTCCCTGCCCCACTGTAGGCATTTGTGTCTGCGGCCCTTGTAATGAGTGGAAGCTGCTACTCTTAAGTCTGTTCACAAACGATTTCTCATTTGCTCTCTACCACAGCCTACCTGTCGCCCCCATTTTTCAGACATAAAAACTGAGGTCTAAAGAGAGCAGCTCTCTCCAAGGTTTTCCAGTCAGGGAGTGGCTGAGCCAGGGGTCAGACTGACTGATTTATTCCTTTAGTCCGCTGATCTTTAATGAGCACCTGCTAGGGGCCAGGTACAGAGACTCCACCTAGTTTCTACGCTTTTGCCCTCATGGCCACAGCCATTGCCTCGCTGGCTCCCAGTTCTCTTCACGTGGAAAAGGGGGAATACAGTCCTCCTGAGCAGGAAATTAATAATGATGGAGTACGGCCCACAGAGCGCCCTGCTGAGCCCCCGAGAATACAGAATAGCTCGTTGGTTATACACTGTGTGTATTTTTGGCTGCGGCAGCCACTGAAATGTGCAGCTCGGCTCCCGGACAGCTTCGCGCTCAAACCAGCGAGCTGTTCTCCTGTGTCACAGCCTGTCATCTGATCCTTGACAGATTTTGGATCAGAATGTGACAGGTGTCTGGAACCTGCCTTGGCAGCGTGACACCTGGCGCTCAGGCGCAGAGAGAGGCCCCCAGAAGTTTTCCCTCACATCCAGCCCTCAGGCCCGTCGAAAGGCACCCGGGGCTGCCACTGGGCCATCACACCTGTCTGCTCCTTTGTCAGAAGTGCTGGGGGGTGTGAGGCGGACTGCGGGGAAGGGCTGACTCCACCCTGCCCGACTCCCTGGGCAGAAGAACCAGGTGGGCCTCTGCAGACAGCTGGTGATTGGCAGGCCTCATGGCGCACCGGGGCTCCCAGCCGCCTGGAGCAGAGCTGTGCGCTGTCAAGCCCAACAGCGTAAGTGGGTGGTGGCAGGAATGCCAAGGGCGCTCCCGGAGGCAGGGTAGACAGGAGCTTCCCATCAGGCAGACCCAGTTTCTGGTGCCAGCTCGGTTCCTCACTACCCGGTTCGGTGACCTTAGGCAAGTCACTTTCCTCTCTGAGCCTCAGTTTCCTCCTTTGTAAAATGGGGACGATGGTCATTACCCCATAAAAGTACCAGCAGCAACTGATGTTTGCCTGGCATCGTATGGAAGGCTCACTTCATTTCATCCTCACGGCAATGAGGCAGATCCTCTTACCATCCCTGTTTTACAAGGGGGTGGGGGCGGGAACTGAGGCTCAGAGCGAAAGACCTTGCCCAAGGACACATGACCAGGAAGTGGCAGAGCTGGGACTCGAACCGAGGCCTGCTTGACTCCAAACCCCACCTTTTAACTTCCCGATGGCAGGGACTGTAGCTGGGTGCTTATTCTTAGAGCCCCAGCGTCAAGCACGGTGCCTGGCACATTGTAGGTATTTGACAAACACTGATGAAGTAAATGACATGTAAATAGGGGATGCCTGGGTAGTGACAGCTGTTAGTTTCATTTCATCACCCTGCCTCTCATTTGCTCCTCAGAAGAGAAGGAATTGTATTATGCATAATCAAAGAAACCTGAACTCTTTTACCCACTTGCGTGTGACCTTGCTGGAGCCCCAGGATATTGCTGACACAGTCCTCCATGGGTCCAAGGGCGATTTCTTACTTGGCTGCCTCTTTCCTGCTATTTTTGCTAACTGCACTTGTTCATTCGGTAACTATTTATCACCTGCATGCTTTGGATCAGACATGGTCTAAAATTGCGCTTTCATTGTCGTGAGATTTTATTCTGAGTATCAATACCCGAGGCAGCTGGAGGATGACATATTACTTGAGACTTCTTCTTCTGTAAATGACAGAAATCCATCTCAGCCAGGCTTTAGCAGACAAGGAATTTATTGGCTCATAATTGAGAACACCACAGGGAGCAGCAGCTTCAGGCATGGTTGGATCCAGGGGCCCAAACAACCTAGTCTGAAACCTCTCTCCGTCTTCTCTGTCATCTTTGACCCTGTGTAGGGTAGATAACACCACTCACTTACCTCTAAGTCAACCAGCTGTAGCAGCTCCAGGGGAAAGAGGCAGAGGAAACCTTGGGAGGGCCCTGATTGGTTGGTCCACATGCCCGTCCCTGACCAGTCACCGTGGCCAGAGGCTTCCGTGGCCAGACATGGGACGTGTGCTCACTGCCAGCTCCATCCTCGCCCCATGGGAAGTCCTGCAGGAAAGAGAGGTTCTTTTACCAGCAGGGAGGGTCAGTGGTGTGCTGGATAGTCAAAGCCATTTGCTGTCCCAGACCAGCGTCTGGCAGACAGATGGGGCGGGCACAGGACCTTGACCTCAGGCCACGTGGGAGCAGACCGGATCTTCTCCTCCAGGAGCTCATTGACATGAACCAACACCATCTGAACGCCTTGGGTGTGGGCCATGCCTCGCTGGACCGACTCTGCCAAGCGTCCATGGCCCATGGACTGCACAGCAAGCTCACTGGCGCTGGCGGCGGCGGCTGTGGCATCACTCTTCTCAGGCCAGGTACGGGGAGGGGAGCAGGGCTGCCAGCCTAGGCTCATACAAAGGTTCTACCTGGGCATTTCCTTTGGGAGGAGGAAGAGGCCTGTAAGCAAGTCTCCCCTCTGCTGTGTGGCCTTGGGCGAGTTATTAACCTCTCTGGGCCTTTGTTGCTACATTGGTAAACTAAGGATGCTAACATCTAGATTGTAAGATTGTTCCCCAGATACAAGGAGAAAAATACACTGAGAGAGCCTGGTATGGGGCACCTATCGTGGTGGCTGTTTCTACCACCTTACCTGCCCAAGCCTCTCACAAGCCTGAGAAATAGCCAGGACATTGTCACCGCTCGTCTCAGCCTCAAACCCCGTCCTGTCCCTTCTTGATATGGCCAGGATGGGGGCTGACCTTGTTTCAAAACAAGGGTGTCTTTCTCCTTGGTCTTCGGGAAAGGGCAAAGCCCGGGACCAGCAACAGGCCCCTGGTGGTGTTTCGTCACCGACGTGCCACCCCGCCCTCAGGACCTGGGACTAAGTGCCCCCGCCCGCCTCCGTTTCCGTCTGTGCTCTCTGCCCACTCCTCGTGGTCTCTTTTCTCTCATCCTTCCCTTCTGTACCTTCTCCTTCCTTTTCTTGTCCTGCCTGTCCCCTTCACTTTCAGTAAGCCCACAGTGGCCCCAGAGGCCTCCCCTCACCCTCAGGGAGACACCCAGGCCTCAGGAAGTTGCTGCATCCTAACTGCCCCAGACCTTGACTGTTGGTTCCTAGTTCAAGGTCGATGACGAAGGTGAGAGAACATTTCTGGAGCATGGACGGTGTACAGGTGGTGTGCTAGGCACTTTACCTGCGTTATCCCTTGTAAGTCTCACAGTGGCCCTGGAGGAATAGGTATCATTATTAGCTCCATTACCAGACGAGCAGACTGAGGCTTAGAGAGAAGTCACTTGTTTGAGGCCCCACAGCCAATACATGACAAAGCCAGGTCCAGGTGACTCCAGAGCCCACCTTTTCCTTGAGTGGGGACGAACATTCTCCAAGGGAGCGGACGGTTGTCAGGGTGATCTGCTGCTTTCCCTCCCCCCAGATCTGGAGGGACCAGAGGTGGAGGCCACGAAGCAGGCGCTGACCAGTTACGGGTTTGACTGCTGGGAAACCAGCGTTGGTGCCCCTGGCGTCTCCGTCCACGCGGCCGCCTCCCTGGATACCGCCGTCCGGCAAGCCCTGGATGGCCTCTGAGGTGAGCCTGCGTCGCTGCAGCCCCACCAAGAAGCCCGTTCCTGGATTGTTCTGGGGGCTGGAGTTGGCCTCTGTGCTGGCCAGTGGGCACCCAGCTCCTGACACCGACAGAGAAGCCCCAGCGCCCTGTGATGTCCCCTCTGCTGGCTGTGCCCCTCCAGTCCCAGCTGGGCTGCCCGGAAGACATGGCCTGTGTTCTGCCTTCTCTCGAGCTGGCCCGGCAGTGGGGCTGTATGGGGTCCTCTTGAGACTGCATACCTGAGGCTTGAGGTGCTTTCCTATCCTCCCTGAGGCTCCGCTGGACCCACCTGCTCTGGGCCTCTGCCTTCACTTCATACTCCTTGGCCGACCTGGTAGGATGCGCAGAGACGGGGGTCTGGTTCCTGGAGCAGTGCGCCATCTCCCTTTTCCGGCTGTGCACTTCCACCTGTCTCTCAGCGCCAGGCCCCTCCCACCTCTTCCGGGAAGCCTTCCCTGACCCCTGGCAGGGTGACCTTTGTCCCTCCCTCCCTTCACTCCTTTTAAACCATAGGCACAGTCTCTCCCGCTAGGCTGTGAGCAGTCTCTCATGTGGTGTCTGGGTGGCGGTCTTGGCCTTCTGTCCTGTGGCCCAGGGTTTGACTTGACGCAGGGTCTGTGTGCAATTTCTTCCAGTCTGTACCTGAGGGGTTTGCAGAAAAGATGGCAAAGGGGAAATAAAAGGATCTTAAGTAAACAGTGCTCCATTTTTTTTTTTAAGATTTTATTGGGGGAGGGGAACAGACAAGTTGCTGTCTTTTTGTTCTTCAGTCTAGTTGTAGAGGACTTTGCTTCACTGGCCCATGTTGGTATTGTCATTGCGCTCTTCCCGGGTGAGGCAGATCGGTCACCGGCCATTGGACGGCAGCTCATGGCGGCTCTTGGCAGCTCACGCTGGCTGCTGGCCACTCACGGTAGTTTATGGCAACCCACTGCAGCCTACGCTGTCGCTGGCGACTCACGGCAGCCCAGCTCCAGGTTGAGCTGTTGTTCAGCATCTTAGCTGTAGAGGACAGTGTCACTGGCCCTCATGTGGGATCTGAACCAGGGCCCTGCTGCTCAGCGCTGGCGTCCCAAGCCAACTTTTAACCAACACTCCACTCGGCCCAACAGTGCTCCATTCTGTGTCTGGAAAAAAGGATGAGCGTCTGGTAGTTTCTAGCCCACCCACACCTGCCTCCTCTGTCCCTGTCCCTTCTCCAGTCACTTTGTCATTGGAGCTTTTCAGGAGTTGAAGCAAAGAAGGGCTCTGGGTCACCTGGTGGTGTGTCTCAGGGGTGAGGTGGTGGTCTTCCAGATGGCCCTGCCAGACTGGTATGGATGCCAGGACAGTAGGCTCTGTCCACCAACACAGCTCCAGCCTGCTTTTCCAAAATGGGGACGTTTAAGCTTCCTAGTTCCTAGCATCATGAGCACCTACTATTTCAGAGAGTTTTATAAGCCTTGGAAACAAAAACCTGCTGTATGTCCTGGAATATTCCTTTCTTTCTGAAATTAACTGGGTGGGGAAAACGCTCGAGTACTTATAGCCCAGTGCCTGGCAGCTACCTGGCCTGATTTGAACTTACTAGTCAAGGCTCTTTTTGAAATGGCAGAATCCATCAAAAGCCCTATTAGTTGGCACGTTGCCAACAGAAGCTCCTGGAACCTGGGACCTGCAAGAGTTAGGGCAGGGAGGTGCGGGCCAGGGCAGGGGGTTCAGGAGTTGGTTAAAATGGCTCAGTGCCCTTCTGCCCTTGGCCACTAGGGGGCAGCTGGCGCCTTTCCCAGCATCTTCACAGGGAGAGTGCCTGGCAGCCGGCCTGAAGCGCAGAATAAGCTGAGCCGCCCACCCATCCCACCCACCCCCGCCAGGCCTCTCTCCAGGCTCTACCTCGGGTCACTGCCAGGAATGTGACGGTGATAAGAAGATCACCTGCCCCAGCTTAACTTGTAAAAATGGACCCAGCCTCACTGATGGCTTCCCCCGCACCCTTTAAAAAAAAACAATGCATAAAACAATACTATTAATACTGAGCACTTAACCATGTGCTGGGCACTGTTTTGAGCGCGGTACATACATCATCTCTTTTCATCTACCCCAGACTTGTAATTGCTAATCTCAGCCCCGTTTTACAGATCAGGATACTGAGGCTCAGAGAGGTTGAGTAACTCGCCTCTCTGCCTAGGCTTCCATTCATCTCTGCCACCCGCTCGCCACATGACCTTGGATGAGCCAGTCTGGCTCTGGAGGCCACAGTTTCTTCATCTGGAAGATGGAAATATTAATAATAATACCCACCTTATAGAGATTTCATGAAGATTGAGTGAGAAAAATAAAGCCCTTAGCACAGAGCCTGGCACATAGGAAGCACGCAGTAAATGCTCATTACTATAACTGTCCTGTGCTGAAAAATTAGGTGTCCCTTAGGCCAGAAATTTCAGAATGGTGCATAGAGCTGATGAGAAGTGCCCGGCCCAGTTTGGGTTGAGATCCCTGGGGTCGCTGTTAGAGAAACAGCCAATGCCAACTGGCTTCCCTACCTCCCAACTTCCTCTCCAAAGAGACAGACACATATTCCTGGTGCCCTCCTTGCCAGCTGGAGGACAGCAATTCTTCAAGTTAGCATTTGGAGCCACTCCCAGCCCCTGCAGCCAATTGTGGATTTAACACCCACCTTCACAGCCTGAAATTCCCAGGAAATGTCCCCGGTCTGGTTGAGGTCTCATGTTAGGAGACCGGCAGCAAATACTGTGATTCATACCGGACAGAGTAGCTGCTACTGTTGCACTGATGCTTTTTCCTGATGATGAGGATTTTTCCTCCCCGAGAATGTCCCCCGTGGACCACTGGCAGCCTGTTGAGTTTGGCAGCTGGCCGCAGGTCAGCAGGCATGGTCGGTGCTGGCTCTGCCATCTGAGTGTGCTTGGGCCAGAGTGCTTTGCTTCTCAAGGTCTCCGTTTTCATTCTCATTTGCTGGCAAGAGCTTTTTGTAAGGCACCTAGCAGGCACCACCCTCCCCAGCCCTTCCAGGCTTCCAGCTAAGTTGGGATCAGCTCCTTGGCTGTCTCTTAACACCTACTGTGTGCCATTTCCCATCATGCATTATCTTAGGTGAGAAAACCGAGGCCCAGAGAGGTTAAACATTATGCCTACACAATACATTTTCATCTCTAATGCCCAGGCCATAGTCACATGTCCCCCCAGTTGTGCCCCCCAAATGTCCAGAATCCTGTTCAGGGCCATACATCTGGCTGCTATAGCCCTTAATTCTCTTAATCTAGCACAGCAGGCCTACATACACACGACACACATATCTTTTTTTCTCCATTATGTGGCTTACTCAAGAGACCTGACTGATCACCCTGCAGCGTATCCCGTCTCCTGCATTGGTTGTTCGGTCAAACCCCTCCCTGTGGCTTTGACAGCGGCTGAATTGCTAACAGCCAACCTTCCTGAACACCTACTACGTGCCCAGCATGGTGCTGAGTGCTTTGTGTGCCTTATCTGTGTGAATCCGCTCAGTTCAGTGAGTTAGGTATTGTTCTGATGCCCATTGTGTTGAGTAAACTGAGGCCTGGGGAAGGAAAGGGACGTGCCCGAGGTCACAAGGCAAGCAAGTGGCAGAATGGCATTTGAACCCAGGTCTGTGTGAATTCAGAGCCTTGCTCTCAGTTACTAGATTGTACTGCTTGGGAGATTACGGATGACCTCCCAAAGCCGCTTCTCCTTTCTCTGCGTAACAGAGTTGTCACAACTGTCCCAGTGGTGCCTACCCAGCTTCTGCCCCCTCAGTCCTCATTGCCACCCACACCTTGGACCACCCCCCTCCCATGGCCCTGCCAACACAGCAAATGGGCCAACTGATCAAACTGCTAAAGATCACAAAATGTGCCCGGAGCTACCATCTCCCTGCTTCAATTAAAACCCTGGGGGGGCCGGCCGAGTGGTGCGTTGGTTAGGAGTTGGCTTAGGACGCCAGCTCTGAGCAGCAGGACCCCGGTTCAGATCCCACATTAAGGCCAGTGACACTGCACCCTCTATAGCTAAGATGGTGAACAACAGCTCGACCTGGAGCTGGGCTGCCCTGAGTCGCCTGCGACGGTTTAGGCTGCAGTGGAGCTGCAGTGGGCTGCTGTAAGCTACCATGTGTGACCAGCAGCCAGTGTGAGCGGCTGGCAGCCGGTGTGAGCTGCCAAGAGCCGCCGTGAGCGGCCGTCCAGGCCCGGCGACCAATCTGCCTCACTCGGGAAGAGCGCAATGATAATACCAACATGGGCCAGTGATGCGACGTCCTCCACAACTAGACTGAAGAACAAAAGGACAGCAACTTGTCTGTTCCCCTTCCCTGATTACCTAACGCTGTTCCCTCCCCCATTTCCCAAATAAATCTTTAAAAAAATAAAATAAAACCCTCGGCACTGGGTCGAACATACACCACACCCCATGTCTTCCCCAAACTGAACCAAACAAGGGCAATAGTCTCCAAAGTCAACCAGACGGATGTTTCAGTTGCTTGTAATTGGAATCCAATAGCATCAGGGTCAGGAGAACTCTTGGAGATCACATGGTCCAACATCTCATTTGCAGCTGATGGAGAAACCCAGGCCCAGAGAGGGCAAGAGACCTGTCTACCGTCACACAGTGAGCCACCTGTGCATTTTCTCACAGCCAGGGCATCACAGAAAGAGCACTGTGCTTGGAGTCCAGGAGGCCTGTCTCAGGGCCTCGCTTCTGCACCTGCTGACTGCGTGGCTTGGAGCAGGGACTCCCCTTTGGTCCTCAGTTTCTCAAAGGTAAAATGCCAGACAGGGTGCTAACCCCCTTAGGCGTTGTCACATTTCATTCCCACAAGTCTGTGGTGCAGCTAAGACAGAGCCACAGCCCCTTATCTGAAACCCTGGGGCCAGCTGTGCTTTGGAATTCAGAAGTTTGCAGGGTGAGGGATAGATACCCTATGTTCCATCCCTTCCCTCTTGGTGTCTGGGACAGCACCACCCCAGACTGCAGTGAAAAGTACGAAGAGTGAAGATCGTACATAGTATGTCAGCCTGTGATGCATTTGCTGCCAAATGAGTTTTGGTGCCAAGCTT